GTAGAACTCTCATGGATGAATAGTCTTCCTTTTGGACTCATTTTTGAACATCTGAACAATAAAACAGAAGATTTCAAAAATACACATAAACATTCACAAATTCATCTGTTAACATCTTTTGCATAATCATTGTTCTAGTATTTAACTGAATTTTTCCATAATCTTCTATAGCCATTTTCTCTCCTGCTGTTCTACATTCTTTTACCAGATTACCTGAAAATGTATCTCTGATTTTACTATTTCATAAATAAAATGCTTCATGCTTTTTAATTTTATATATAAGAAAAAGAAAAAACAGCAAATCTAAATAGAGGTACCCTCTGCTTAGTAAAGCTGCCATATTATGAACCCAATGAAACTTTTCTGCTTTACTCTCTGCTACCACATCCTCTTTCTCTTTGGGTCACCAAATAAGTTTATTCTCTATCCTTTAAGACCTGTTGGCATTGTCTCCTGTATGAGTTGTATCAGATTATTTTCTCTGCTTGAAATGCCCTCTTTCTACCTTTATTCAGATTCTAGCCCAACGCCTATAACTGCCTCAGCTGAGGACCCTCTCCCTTGTCTGTGCTACTATAGTACAATGATCCCCAAAGTGTTTGACTGTGTACTATTATCAATAACATATGTTATATATTACTCCTTCAATATATGCATATTTATATGCTCATAGATTATGATAGTGTGTGTAACAAACAAAAGCAGAAATTTGGAAAGTTTGAGATAAATATAATACTAAATGTTATGATTTTTTTCTTGCAGGCAGGGGAATCACCTTGTGTAGCACATCCCTGTCCCTTCTACAGGATGAACTAACTAGACTAACTTGGTCTTTAACTAGTGGGCTAAATGTCTTAAACTTTGTGAAACTCTTTCTTTTCTGATTTGCAAGAAATATCTATAATGATTTTTCCATTGATAAAATTCTTGCACATTTTACTTCCGATTTTTAATAGTCTTTCCCCTGGGTAAGTGTTCATTTACCAAAATGGATGGTAAGTTTCTTGAGGGCAAGGATTATGTCTTGTTCCTCTGTTTATTTCTCAATGCAAATGGTGTCTTATATTTGACAGGTACTGAAAAGTGATTTGTGAGGATCAGCTGACTCACAGGGCTTTCTCCTGGAATTGTCAGGATGTCAAGGTTGTTCTTAAGTAAATCCCTGGATGAGAAACTCTCTCTGCAAAGGACAACCATTTGTGATGAATGAAGGGAAACAGAGCTCTTACTCCTTTGCTTGGGGTTCAGCATATAAGATGACCTCTCATTACATGGATTTCTGCTAGTTCTGTGTACTTATTTAAAGTTTCAATCATCTGACAATTATTTATTGGGTGCCTATAATTTGCCAATCATATGGTTTTTTCTTTATTCCTGTCTCATAAAACAAAACAAAACACATCCTCAGAGCTTCTCTCCAACAGAAAGACACAAAACTAAAAAGAAAACAGCATGACTCTCAGAAGTTCTAAAAAACAGTCTAGACCACCTTCCCATGGGATGCTTGATTTTCTCAGCAGCATCACATCAAGGGAATTGCCAGTATTTTCACAACAGCTTCTTGCAGCAGGGTTCTTGTTGCTCCCATACTGTCCATTCAAACTCCCAGCAGCTGTGAATTGAAAAGCAATTATTCTTTATGTTGAGGAAACATCTGTGTGGCTTTTACACCTTTGGGAATCTGAAACAGTTCACATTTCTCCTTTACGTATTTTGAACCAGATACAACATTTCCACTGAGCAGTTTTTTTCCATATTAAATATTTGCAAGTTATCCCAACCATGATATATATATATGCTAAATAAATAAATATATATATATATATTCTACAATTTTGATTTCTTTCTTTGTTGTACATTTGGAACAGTTTCCAGTTGGCTTGTATTTCTCTTAATATAGAATTCTTAGAACTTAACAAAACACTTCAGATGTGGCTTGATCTATTTTAAACTACAAGAAAAGAATGAGGAAACTGGGTCAAGGTGAGGCAAGGTAAATATATTGAACCCAGAGACACTAAACAAATCTTTTCAGTCCACTGAGACATGGATGGCCACTGATTCTTGATCTCCTTTATTTGGAGGTAGGAGGGCAGAAGTTCAAACTGCAGATTTGCCTACATCTTTCTTTTGAGAGTTCCTTAACTTATGTGAAGTATGATTGGCTTAGTTGAACTGTATTTTTTGTCAGTTTCATGGAAAAAGCACTGATTTCTATCTGTTCTAACAACTTTATTTTGTGTTGATTTTTCTTTGATACTTCTAAAATAAATACAATCTACATTTCAGAGTCTAATATTTGCAAAGGGCTTTGTCATTAGTTCACATCAGTCATTTCTTGTCTTGGGTAATCAGTGAGATTTGCAGAATTCTGATTTTTTTTTTTTTAAAGAAACAGTGCTTTTTATGTTGCTAAGGCTTACCTTGAACTCCTGGTCTCAAGGGATCCCACCCCCACCCCCATCCCATCTCAGCCTCCCAAGTAGCTGTGACTATAGGCATGTGCCATGATGCCATGCTAGAGTTCTGATGCTTGCAACTAGTTTCTTGGGAAAGGCATTGGCAGCCTTGGTGAAGCACCTGGAGTCTCAGATTGATACTCTTTGACAGTGCTCTATGCTACTTTCATTGTCCTTGCGTTGTGATGTGCATGTCTCAGTGGTAGTTCAGTTAAGGAGTAAAGGAAGTTATCCTGAGGGGAGCACAGACATCTACCTGCAGCATTTTGGGCACATTCCCCATTGGCTCACCCATCTCGCATTTGACCGACCTCTAAATGGACAGCACTACACCCAGTTTACTATGGTTTGGAGAAACAGTTCATGTCAACTTTCCGTGAATGTCATGGTTCTTTCAACAGAAATCGAAGAGTTGGACAGAATAGCTAAAATGTGATACAGATGGGGCACATATGGAAAATTGATAAGATAGAGTCAAATTTTGATCAAACTTTCTGTACATAAACCTGTACCAGCATAGCAGTGAGCAAGAGGTGCAGGAGAAGGTGGATAGTCTTTGAGTGCTGGTGATTTAGAATTAACTATCCAGTGGTTGTTTTGGTTCAGTGGCATACACATGCGGGATCAGCATTTGGTATAATACATTCAATTGACAATATGACCTTTAAAGTTCTGTTTAATCTATTCAAGATGGATTGTGTAATTTTTTTATGATAAAGAAGCTACTTTCCAATATTATATTGTCTTTAATAGAAAGTAAATGACCAAAATTGATATTCTCACTGTGTGACTTAGTGGAAAATGCCTTTGAAGTCAGTAAAATATGGTTTAAAAATCTTTGTTCTTTTTCCTTTACAGTGATAAGCAAATTATTCAATTTTCCTGAACTGTGGTGTCCTCGTCTCTAAAATGGGGCGTCTTAAGAAGAATAAATGTGACGAGGAATGTAAAGGGTTTAATATTATGTTCACAGGGGCATTTGATGAATAATTTCTTCATTAATCTCATAAATCAAAGGAGATAAGCTGAATAGCTACTGAGGCTATGTTGTTCAATTTTGAAATTTCAGTCTATGCCCTAGGAATTCTTTGGGTGCTGCTAGTAACTGTGTGCAGTTCATTCTGTGGATGTCCCTGAATCCTTCCCTACCTGCTCAGCAGTTAAGAGTCAATTCTTTAAATGGAAGCAAACATGAAGAATAACTTTCCTAGTTTTGAGTAATAATAATAATAATATTAAGGGTTCTGCAACATTTCTGTCATTGAAAATGGCTGCCCATAAGCTGTAACCATGATATAAATTCAGAGGAAAACTTTCCTCTTTATACTGCTGAACATGCTTAATTAATAAACATGGTTAGTTCCTTCTATAAGTACACTTTGCGGGAACCACTAAACAATCAACAATTTCTAGAAAAAAATTAAAAAGATGAGTCTCTTAAAGATTTAGTTCACTTGTGCCTCTTGACATTAATCGTTAAATGAATGAAGTCAAACAAAATCTGAGCCACTTGCATGATCTAGGCATAATCTTGTGTGCTGTATCTATAGAGGACAGAGAGAGTAGGGATTAGAAAGTAATCAAAGCATTAAAGCCTATACCAGACTATTGCTTTAGTTAAACTTACTTTGCCTTTTTATGTTGGTCAAATGCAGTATAGCTATGCTCACACATGCGTTCGTAGGGCAGCAATAAACTCCAGTGTCAGGTGGCTGGACATTCTCTGTTTTCCTCTTCAGGTCTTTTCTGTCCTGCTTTGTACCCCAGGAGGCTGACTTCTATATGTTGTGTGGACTGGTCTCCCATGTCCCTTTGCTTCTGGTTGGGTTTACTCCAGTGGGAGGTATTAGCAGGAGAGAGTGGTCAAGATATTTGTATTCTAGGATCCTTTCTTTACTGAAGTCCACAGCTCCTGTTGGGTGTATTCTCCCTCAGTTACAGGTGTCCTGAGATTAGGGTAATTTCATCTTCTCCTGTCCCTTTGGGCATAGGTGTGGTGAAATCTTCCGGCTGTTATTTAGCCCCAGGTGTTTCACCTTCCCTTGTAGTCTTCCCTAAATTTTGCACATACATTTAAAAATATTCTCTTGGTTAAGCTTTTTTAAAAAAATGATTTTCTTGTGTTGATTGCCAGGACCCTCAAAAAGGCAACACTAACACTCATTTTAGGTTTGAGGCAGAGAGAGAAGAAAGAGGAGAAATTCACTGTTTCCATTTATGACAACTCTCTCTGGAACTTGAAGATCATTGTTTAAAGACACCTTACCAATTTCAAAGAAAGACATTATATGGCTAAGGTTTCAATTATTAAAGTAGGAGATCTTTAGCAAAACATTCAGAAAGAATTATGTTTCACTTTTTTTCTGATCAAAGCAAAGAGATTTTTCATCTTTTCCTCAGAATATATAGTGAACATTATTTGAACAGTATTCAAAAGAAACAGAAGGCGAATCAGAGGAACAACTTCTTTATATTGATACATACTTTTTACATTAAAATTAAAATCTATCAAATAATCACTCTGCTGCTATTGTGGCCTTTTTTAGTACAAAACTTTAGCCTGTCCTTCCCTTCCAATGCACCCTTTTTCACCATCATAATACCTCAAGTTTAGTTAAGCATACATTTTTTACTGACTATGCACATCATTCGAAGTCTGTTTTAAGTAGTCTCTGAATGTGGAAAGTACCTATTTTGTAACTCTTCTCATTGCTTCGTTTTTTGTTTTATATCTACTGTTTAATATGACAAATGTTTCAAAAATATTTACAACACCTTTTTCTTCTCTCTTTCTAAAAATGTTTAAAGAGAAAGTTCAAGTTTCTTTTGACACTAAAGATCATTATGGGATGGGCTCCTAACAGACCCGACCTAGAGAAAAATCAGTCTGAGTTATCGTTTGGTCAGAGGTTTACACAGAAGCCAGCTCTAAATTACTTCTAACGAGAAGAGCAAGTCTCCTCTTTTCTCCTGTCATTTATCTTCTCTTGCCTTACTCTTTTCTTCTATTTGCTTTTTCTTATCTCTCTTTTTTTACTTTTCTCCCCTCTTGATGCAAAGCTGTATTTTCCTTTCTTTTTCTGTGCATTTTCCCATCCTATTTCCCTTGTTTCTGTCTCTGCATTATCTTAAGAGAGCACAAATCATTTACAAGTTGATCCACTCGGCCTGAATCTTACCCACTTTGATTCACAAACTTCTATTTCTCCTCCTTTGAATCCCCAGTTTGCTCCGTATGTCCCTCATGGAGCCTGTAACCATCCGAAGGTCGGCCCAGGGTTAAGATCAGGAAGCACCAGCTACCAGACAGGTAAGTCGCTGTTCCTATGTGTGGGCTCTAGGGGGCGATGCAGCGTAAGATCCGTCTTGGGTACAGGAGGAGCAGCAAGCTGTCTTGCTCCCCACAGAGCTTTGAGGAGCTGGACCAAAAGCGTGCTCAACAGAAGGAAGATACTGGTGCCGGGAAGCACCAGGGCCCCGAGGCAGGGCCATTTCTAAAAGCCCTGTGCCGACAGGGGTGCTGGTCCCTCTTCAAGAGCCCACTCTCTGGGGTGGGGCCGTATCTGCAACAGAGGTGTACTGAGCAGCCATGGCCTCTGCACGCATCTCGACGCTTGGGATGCTCTTCATATTGAGTGAGTAATGTCCCCTTCCCGTTTTCCACTCGCGCGATCCACTTACATGCTTTCCAGCAGCTTCACTGATGCAGCATGGATTAATTTACAGGTGGACTGAGAGCTCAGTCGGTGGCTCAGCCGGAGGATCGGGTCACGGTCGCTGAAGGGAATCCTCTGACTGTGAAATGTACCTATTCAGTCTCTGGACTCCCTTATCTTTTTTGGTATGTTCAATATCCCAACCAAGGCCTCCAGTTCCTTCTGAAATACGTCACAGGGGACAACCTGGTTAAAGGCAGCTGTGGCTTCGAGGCTGAATTTAATAAGAGCCAAACCTCTTTCCACCTGAAGAAACCATTTGCCCTCGTGAGCGACTCCGCCTTGTACTTCTGTGCTGTGAGAGACACAGTGATGGGGGCTGCAGCGGGAGCAGAACACAAACTCTTGAGTCTAGTACAACCCATTTCTTGAAGTCTTTGTTCCTTTACATGAGAGTGATGTGGTTCCAGGATGTGTCACTTATTATAATTAAACTACAATTTAAAACCATAGCATTTCTCCTTCAACAAGTGTTTAGTGAGTCCTGATGTGCCAGGTAATGGGCTAAGCACCAGTCATAAAAAGGAGAAAGAAGTGTAAAACAAATAGAAATAAGCATAGGGAAAAATTACCATGACACTGGTCTAGGCTAGGACTGACTTACTCTCTCTTTCTTTTCTTTCTTTCTTTTTCTTTCTTCCCTCCCTCCCTTCCTCCCTTTTTCTTTCTTTCTCTCTTTCTCTCTCTCTCTTTTTTCCTTCTTTCTTTCTTTCTTTCTTTCTTTCTTTCTTTCTTTCTTTCTTTCTTTCTTTCTTTCTTTCTTTCCTTTTCTTTCCTTCTTTCTTTCTTTCTTTCTTTCTTTCTTTCTTTCTTTC